ATTATTATTATTATTATTATTATTATTATTATTATCTGAGTTAACATTAGTATGCTTTTTACTGATATTATCATTTTGAAATTATTATTATTATTGTTATTATTATTCACAATATTATTATTAACAATATATATATATATATATCAGTATGTATGGCTTCTACATATCAAAACTCATGCATTTAAAATAACTTATACTGTCGCACGTTTGTAATAGACCCTCAGAGGTGCTTTTTTCTCCCCCTGTTCATGTTATTGAATTAAATCGGAGAACCAGTGAGTATACAAAATATTTTATTCGCCAACTGCTCCTGGGAATTCCCTTTTACCCATCGAATTTTATGACTGGACGGTCTTTGTTAAACTGGTACAACATAAGAATATTGTCTCTTGAATGTTAGCTGCAGCATTATATTTCTACTAAATAAGTTTTCAGAACTAATGTTCTATTTATTTTTATCAAATAGAAAATACAGTAAATATAATTAAAATGTTATATGCTCGATTTCACACACACATATCTGCACTCTACTGCACAAAAGTAATTACAGTGCTTTGTTGTATTATTTATTCTCAAACTGACAAAGGGTTTAGTTTAATTCAAAATATTTCACACACTGTTACAACTTTCCACAATTATCTGTAAAGATGATATTGTTTAACTAACGCCTATTGGTGTATCTAGTGCTTTACTTGTATCCACAATTGCTAAACTATTTCAAGGTCAATAAGCAGATGTTTAGCTGCTTTTAAAGTTATTTTACAAAAGCTACAGTAAGGATTGTTTATATTTTACAGGTAGGAAATAAACTCTTTTCATCCTAGGTGAACCGTTTTAATCTCACTTCCTTAACATTAACAAGAAAATGTTTGTATGTTTGTTGCCACTTACAAGTCTATCACCCATAACATAGGTTTAAAATTGATTGAAATATTTTAGACATATTTCATGTAAACATGCACCCATAAAAGTCTATAATACAGTACTGTTTGAATTGTGCTTACAACAATAGTGACATTACACATTTGCAATCAGATATTACTTAATCCGTAGTTAAAATATGTATCTTCAACTCAGTTCTCAGACGCTGTGGTGTAACAAACTGCTTTTCATGGTCAAATACATTTTGAATAGAATGAAAACCTTGTGATTTACTTCTGTTTACAATGGGCAGGTTTGTTATCATAAGTTCTAAGCAAATAATTATATATATACCAAAACCATCAATGGAGTATATACTCAGCTACATGATTTCAGTCAATTCGTCTTCCTCGGGCTGCGCATGAATATCATTATCATCAAAGATGGCGCCGGAGAGGCGTTTCCAGAACAGACGTTGCCCATCTTGTTTCTCAGTCCACTTTATATACCCTCTTGCTCTAATGTATTTTCGCAGTGATTTCGTCATAGCATCAAATGGCACAGGCTGCAACATAACCGGTATTACTGATTGGTAACCACGAGCAAGAGACATCTGGAACTCAAACTCACACCAAGGGTTGAGAACGTAGCTCTCAGAGAGGACAAGCACTGTTTTCCTGCTGTTCTCCACGGCCTCTACAATGGCCTCGGAAAGGGAAGCGCCACAAATGAAATCTCTTTGATCTATGATGACATCAAGTTGATCCTCATCTTCTAGATGACGTAACAGCACGTGTGTCACCCAGTGATAATCTTTGTCGTCATAGGAGGCGTACACGTGACCAGGTGTTCCACCCATGAAACCTCTCTTTCGAAAATGGCGGCGAAGAAGGAAGAAGTGGTATCTATAATATTGAGAGAAAAAAAAGTACTCGGGAATCACGACAATCACGATATATATTTATATACCGTTTACACACGTTTCGTTTGAATTGTATTTTTTCATTATTAGTTTTCAGTGGACCACTTACCCAATATTTTATTAGAGTTGTTTGCTTTAATTTTCATTTTAATACTATATTCTATATATTCATTCGCTATACTCAATATATATTGCAAAAAGAGCACAAAAAACCCTAATTTTTTTTATAAATTATAGATTTTCTGTCCATTTTTAAATGTATTTAATCAATATAAAATGAAACCTTTTTACACACACTCATACTCAACTTACTTGATATTCCAACGGTAAATGTAAACTACTATAAGGCCACAGGCCGCAGCAGCTATGCTACCAAGAGATGCTCCCAAGATAAGCCACTGGTTTGGTGAAGTGATAACCTGTGGAAAGATATCGCATTCCCTCTCAAGTCTACTCAGGTTGCTCTCTAAGCTTGTTTTAGGTCCATCCACGTAACAGGTGGAGTCGTTGGAGAATATTGTCGTCATGTTGGAGTGGATAATCAAACGGAGAAATCCTATCCCGTCGCAAACGTTGCAGTCCATGGGATTGTTGCTCATGTTCAAAGTAACATTCAGGCTACTGGCATTCACATTCCTAATGTAGTCCAACTCCGATGTCGAGGCGTCGGTTAGTTGATTAGTGCTTATATCTATGTATTCTATGGAAAGTAAGTTTATCATGGTAAAAGATAATGTTGATATTCGATTATCGCTGAGGTCCAGACGTCTCAATGAAGCAAGATGGCCAAAAAAGTCTTTTGGTATTGTGCTGATTTTGTTCACTGATAAATCGAGGATTTCTAAGTGTGGGAGTTGTATGGGATGAAGACCACTTTTAGCAATCAAAGGACCTAAATTGTTGTCTTTCAGATACAAGTATATCAATGAGATGAAATTATTGAAAAAAATCTCTGGCAGGTATTGAATGCCGTTATGAGAAAAATCCAGGAACTCTAGTCTATCTAAGCCATATAAAACGGGACAAAATTCTTTTAAATTCAAATTCAGGTCCTCTATTTTGAGATATCTGACGTTGTTTGGTTGGAAATAAAAATCTTTATTTAAATGGTGGCACTTTTCAAAAGTATTATCATCTATGCCCCACCAGCTTGAAGACCAAAATTCGATTTTTTCAGGCAAACGTATTTTCAAAATTGGACGACTAAAATTAACGTTTTGTTGGGGACCTTCATGCTTTTTCTGCAATGAGTTTTGAAATTTGACTGATTCTAAAGGTAGTTTTGGATGGCCATACCAAAATGAGTTTGATGGAAGATCTCGGGCATTCACCATAAACTTGCGATAAATATTGAAGTCCATCCTAAAAAAAGTAAGGTTTGAGAGTAATAATGATTTACGATATATAATATCCCAACCGCTTGGTTGTGTATTATTTTCTAATAAAAATAAAACGGCGTTACCAGACAAATCTACATATTCTAAATGAGTTAAAAAATCAAAATTTTGAATGTCAATCCCGGTAATTCTGTCATGAAGTAATTCTAGTGACTTAAGTGATGTGGATTCCAAACATTGAAAGGCGTTAACAGACAATTTCCACTCTTCCACAGTAGGTTTTCCATATCGCCATGAGAATATGTTGCTCATGCGTAGCACCTCAATGGCGGTATTGTTCAGGTCACAAATGACATTTCCAACCTCTCCGACAGTGCTAAACGATGCACCCTCTATATCCAGTGTTTTCAAATGTGGAAATGAAGACATTGTGCCGTATTCTACGGTGTCAAGACCGCATCCGATGAAAGCTAGCCGTTCAATGGGACAATTTTTCACCGTGGCAAAAGAGTGTTTTCTAAGGTGTGCTACGGATCCATGATCATGAAACACAACTGTTTTTAGTGAGGTGAGATTTCTGTAACCGGGACCAAGTACCAAATTACGCCGTGGTAGACCAGGAAAAAACACCTGTTGCAATCGACGTAAGGGGGCTAATGTTTGATCTAAATATCCTTTTTGCACTTGCGAAGTGATGCCCATTTTCCCAAATATCAGAACTTTTAACTGCGTTAAGTCCTGGAACAAGCTCACGGGGAATGCTTCATAATCGAAATTTGTCTCCAAATAAAGGGGAGAAAAATCCAAGTGTTCCAAAGCCCTTAAACCTGCAAAACTATCTTTATGAAAGTATGTTATGTAGTTGCCTCCGACATACAGTATTTTCAGATTTTCCAGTTGACTAAAAACGTGAGGTGGGATCTCAGACAGACCGGTGTAGCGTAGATCCAGAACAGTTGTATTGCGTGGCATAGATTTATTCAGGGACAAGGCGCGGCTATAAGAGCAGTTGACAATTCCCTGTGTTGAAGACGTAAAATCGCAATGGCAAGGCCCTGGACACTCGTTTGCCTTGCATCCGCCAATACTAAGAATGACGCAAACCAAACAGCACAGATACAACCTTGAGGGACCTTTTCCTGGCATCGTGGAAACCTCTGTTAGCGACATTCGCGGCAAACTGGACTCTTTACATCCGAGCAGGGCATTATTTACATACCCCACACCAAAACATTACTGAACTTCCACTCGTGCAGTTACATTCTGGTAGGCGCCTATTCATGTATATCGTATTACTCTTCCGCTTTGCTTGTGAGACCGACCTTGATTGATTTAAATAAAAGCAGTGCAGTAAATAAAGTACCTTCTCTTGGTTACTTCTCCGATATTTTTTCTTCCTGATTTTGTACAGAGAAGGTAAAAGGTATTAAAAGAAAGGTCAGAAGGCCTGTGAACGGCTTTAAAATAGCGTAAAGCCTGTATAATAAGCCTTGTGTTTACATTGCAGCCCTTTGTGTTCACAACCACAAGTCCGAAGTCCACGAGTATGGAACATCAAAGCCTCTTTTAATCTACAAGATTTATTTAAGGATTTGCTGAATAAAGAACGTATTGAAGAAAATTAAGAGTGAAATAAAATAAGGAACTCTTACCAAAAACAAAACCAGTATGGGGGAGAGTGTGTGTGATTGCACCGACCCCAAGAGAATTTTGAATACACTTACCAAACACTTTATTTTTACATTTACTGGATTTTATAATTATTGTATTTTTTTTCACTATTAAGAGCTCGGTCAGTATTCAATTTCTGATATATATATCTATGAACCCCATTAAAATGCATTTATCCTGTTGTTGAAAAGTCACTTATGTTTTTATAGCAAAGGACTGGCTAAATAAAGTGTAAATTATTACATGGGCATAAGTTTTTGTATGACCAAACTTAACCTTTAAGCGTTACCCTTACCCCTCCCCTTCAGGTGCAGCAGAAGGCTCTTTCTTTCCTTCAGTCACCGTCCATATGAACGTTGTGATTTATTTAAGGGTCGGCAGCAGCGAAAAGAGAGAGATTGCATGGTGTCTCAAAAATGTATATATGCAGGCTTCTACATGTAAAACCCATGTATTAAAATAACTTATACTCTCACATAATTATAACAAATGCTCAAGTGCGTTTTTTTCTCTCCCCCTCCCTGTTCATGTTGAATTGACTTGGAGAGCGCGTGCGTTTACACATCTTTTGTACGCCAACAGCTGTGGGGAATTCCCTCTTTACCCATCGAACTTCATGATTGGACAGTCTTTGTTAAGCTGGTACAATGTAAGCATATTGATTATTGAATGAGGGCAGCATTTTAAGTGCAACAATATTTTTTTATTAAATCTTTTTTCCTTATATCAATTAATGTTCTATTTATTTCTCATCAAATACGAAAAAATTAATACAATAAAATATATATTCAATTTCTCACACACACACGCACATCCAAACTCTACTGCACAAAGATAATTACGGTGCTTGATGCGAATCTTGTATAATTTTTTTGCAAAACTGACTTAAGGTTAAATTAAAATCAAAAGACTTTACACATTGGTACTACTTCCCACAATAATGTCCAAAGGTTGCCGGTTGTGTTACAACCTGAAGTAACCTTTTCCTTGAATCGTGGAAACCTCTGTTATTGACATCATCAGCATTCTGGTCGCCCTACATGCGGGTAGGCCACGATTTATATACCCAAACATTTTACTGAACTGCCACTCATGTATTCACATTCTAATTCCAATACATCGTATTACTCTTCCTCTTTGCTTGTGATATAGACTATGCTGGTTTATACAAGAGCAGTTACGTAAATAAAACTTTCCGAATGTTTTTCTTCCTTCTTTTAAAGAAAATTCATAAATAATATAAATCTATTTAGAATAAATCCGGTGTTTACTTTCCTCTCGTGTGTGTGCACGACCACAAGCATGGGGCCCGCAAGAACGTACCATGAGCTTTTAATATTGTGCAAAATGCTGTTCTGTTTAAAACATTTGCTGAATAAAGAATGCATTGACAAAAATAAATAAATAAATATTTAATATAGAATGTGTGAAAAAAAAAACGAGTCAACCTTATTACTGATAATATCAATGGCATATGCTTCGTGGAGGTGGCAATGGCGCCCAGCCAAGAGATTTTTTGCAAGCAAATATAAATATATTCCCTCCCAGTTCATCAGAAGTCTCTTTCCCTTCAGTGAGTGAGTGCCCGCATTCGAATACCACAAACAGTACAAATAACATATAAACTTAAAATTCAAAAACAGTCCAAAGCGTTTTCTTAGCCAAGGACCCTGATAGGTATCCTACTTGATTTTTTTCCCGCCAAATCGATTTTTTTCTTCTCGAAAAAAAAAAAAAAAAATCCAGCTCTCGATTCAGTGCCCGGGTCCTGCATTTAGATTAAATACTTTATACCATTTAGAATTAAATGGTTTAGTTCTTAATGGCTTAGTTACTATCACCACTGTGCATTTAAGAGGGAAATAATCGAAAGTAATTAGTTTTATGAGAGGGATAATTTTAAATATTCTTAAACGCATCTTTAAGGTCTGGATTGGGGGAGATAAATAGCTAAATGTTAACAAAGGAATTGTGACTGTAGGATATTTTCAAACGCGGATAGTTTACCATTAACATGTATTATCAATTACAGGTTTGGCCATAAAATGAGACGGAGTGCACAAGCAAGCGACTTCAATCAAATTAATTAACAAGTCTGGGGACGTTATTTGTGAACTGAACAGAGGGTGACCTTTGACATTTATGTCCGAATGGTCTTGGACGCAATGCTGGCAAAACGTATTCTCACAGCCGAGGACCTTCGGATCTTTGTACTTTTCAAGCAAAATGTTGCACGTTAGGGATTCTTCCGTTAGGATCTTGGGTTGACTCAATTTAATTTTTTTTTTATGAAAAGCATTTGTTGGTAAATCACTTCATACAATACCTCTGATCTTACGATGTGCACTCAAAACTAGTACCCTTTGCATCAAGCTGTTACACGAATTGAATGTCATTCCTACGTGAGGAAAATTCAAATTTTCCTTTGAATACAAATGCGCACATCAAGCATATCCTGCAAACATTACCCAGCTCATATTTTCTTTAGCTAAAAGAAACAATGGCATCTTTTGTTGATATCGCAAAATCATGCGCGCTCTGTTGTCACAACGGGCCTGCACACCACATCGTGTAATAATATGCAACTAAACTAAAAGTGTTGCATCTTGCCAAAGAAAAAAGTGAAAACAAGTGCCTCTTAACTAAGGGGGTTTCATCCCTGTGGTGTATATGTGTTTGGTGTAAAAACTGATGCAGCGTGTTATCTAACTATAAATCATGTGTAAATATTTGACATCAAACCATTTTTCACAAGTTTTAAGCTAACTGTACGGCAGCACTGCACGTTTTTAAATGATTGATTCCCTTCATTAAAAATGAGACTGTGCTAAAATATTCTCATTGACTGTTACTTTGATGTAGTAGGGAGAAATGAATTCTACGGTAGAAGGACAAATTCAAATGTATTTCACTCTAATTAAATACAAGAAGGTCGATGTAAATTTTATTGATTTTTTCAGTGATTTCGCGGGAGACCAAGACTCTTCGGGACCTTTTACTTAAAGATGTGGCAGCAATGTCATCCCATCAATCTATACGTGTATATGCCCTTCCTTTTCTCCTAGTGTTCCTCTATCTCCTCAGAGACAATTAGAGCGAGGAACTTCCAACTTTGGGGATTGATAGACCTATCATTAGGGATCAGTGAGGGATGGGTATGCGCCGTAAATTAAAGAGATGCTGACGTGGGGATCTCTGGGGATGGGTCATTCTATATGTATTACATTTTCACTAATTATGTGTTACGTGACTTGTTATATGCATCTTTCTACTCCGGGACCATGGAATTGATGAACGTTGAACTCAAGGGATTGATTGACCTTTTATCAGGATGTCAGGATGCCATGCATGAAAGCACATATCTTACGTAATTGTTGTCACGATTTTATGTTTCTTATAATCAAGACTTTGGCAGTAGCACAGATGTCCAGGGGATGGGTACCTGGGATGACCTACGTTGGCAGTATGCCGAAGTGCGAGGATATGCTATGGTGCCTCGTCGACACCATCTAGTTACCTGCTGAAACTTAGTTAAATCAAGGAGTTATAACCTGTTATAACTCCTTGGTTAAATGCATCAACTTTAATGACCAATGTATACAATTGGTACTGCAATCAATTGATTTCGTACATAAAACGCCCAACTGATCAGCGTCCCAATTTTGTAAACACTGTGAAATGAACTTTTTTATGGTTCTTGCGAAAAAACGTACTATGCGTGGTTCAACTGGGGTTCGAACCCAGGACCTCTCGCGTGTGAGGCGAGCGTGATAGCCACTACACTATTGAACCGACCTGCTGCATTCTTTGAAATCTTTCATAAATTTCGTTAAATGACTTATCTAAGGTAGCTGATTGTGTCTTTTTGGATCTTAGTTATTTGTTGAATAAATGATGCAGCTTAATCTTATGTGTTTAGCAGCACTGAGTTTACTCACCATGCTGTCGTGTGTTTCAACATGTCTTTTCTTTCCGTGGCTAGGGCGAGGTAGAATATGTTATATTATTATTATTATTATTATTATTATTATTATTATTATTATGCACATTATTATTATTATTCACATTGTTTTGGAAAACTTCATAGGGGAATTTCATTTGATAGATTTTTGTTCCAAAATATTTCCATAAGAAAGCGACATCATCTAGATAAGGCCACGCTTTTTTATTTTTATGGATGGCATCCTCTGGGGACCCTGAAATCGGTGCGAGAGAGCGGGAAAAAAAACAGTCCAAAAAATACTGCTTAAAGGTACATACGAACCGAGCATCTGTGGAGCGTGGATTCCCAGTAACACATGTAAACCACTTCTACTAGTTTCTTATACGACTCCAATGAATTCGACATTCCAAGGGATAAACTGAATAGATCACTCGACCCGCCATAAAAGAGCTTTAGACTTCTCCTTTCTTTAAATTTTTGGTCGGAAATTTAACCTACTTTCGTGACCTTTTTTTCTGGCCCATTGACATACAGCATAGAATGCTGGCAAAAAAATCCGTTCAAACATCATTTTTGGGTAAAATTAAACAATACGTTTTGGTAATTCTCTTAGTTATACTACTTGAAACTATATGCTGGCATTTGGTCGGTTTTTGTGACAAAAAATTGTATGCATCTTTAAGTAAAGGAAT